TTCCTCATTTTCCCCCCACCCCCCCCCCTCCTTTTGGTGCGTGTGTGTTGGGAACGGTGATCCGGGTTGGATTTTCCCCCCACCTTTCCCCGGTGCTTGTTTGGGGGGGAATGTTATGTTTTTGGCTTCCCTTCCCCCTTTCCCTTCCCCCTCCTTTTTCGCTTGCCTTCCCCTCCCCCCACGCACACTGCCGTTTCATTGTAAATGATTTAAGGCCCACAAAAATATTAAAGAGGGAATCGGCAGCAAATTAAATAAAGGAGCCGTCACGAGGCAGGCTGCTTTATAACCTATTTTTAGCCCGATTTGTGTAAAGAAGACTCCTCTCCCATCCCCCTCTCTCGCCGTGCATATTTACTTCTGGGGGGGGGGGAGGGGAGGAAAAGGCGGAAAAAAAAATTAAAAAAGGGAGAGCGGGACGAGCCGAGGCACCTGGAGCGTGACCCCGGCGCCAGGTAGCTGGCTGCGAACCGGGCCACGAGGAGCCCGGGCCGGTGCCGGTGCCGGTCCCGGGGGGGGAGGGCGCCGCGCGGCTCGCTCCGCTCCGCTCCGCTCCGTGTGATTTCTTTAATTTCCTTTCTTTGAACCGTGTCTCCGCGTCGCGGGGAGCTGGGCTCGAGGGGGGCTCTGTTTCCTCCCCGCTGTCCGCCGCCGAGAAGGCGGGCTCGGGTGGGAGAGCACGGTTTGTGCTTGATTTCCTTATTTTTTTATTCATTTTGTGTTTTGTTTCCCCTCTCTTTTAAGCGGTGGGGTGGCAAAGTTATTGTTTATGAGCTTCCTGCGAAGTTCGGGGTGGGACGCGGTGCAGTGTGCAGTGACAGGGTGAGGGCCGCCTCCCGAGGCAAAACGTGGGCCCAGGGTTTGGGCAAAGACTCTCTTTTCTGCCTCCACCACAGCTGAAACTCTCTGGGTTTCTTAATATCCACAGTCCTGGTTGCGAGTTGTACCTGGCAGCTTTTGAGAAGTCTTACAGAGTTAATGTATGTGCCTTTTACTTATTTTTTTTTTAATAATTATTATATTTGTGTCTTGCAGTACAAAAATACGTGGCTTGTTGTTACTGTTGTTGTGACTCTTAAAGGGTTAAGTTCATGGTGTTGTTCCAGGTGAATTTAATCTTTCATCATCGCATTTCCTTTTTAGGCAAATGGACTGAATAAAAGGCTTCTCCCTTACTTATTTCTGCCTTATTCTCTAAAAAGAACCCCCTCCAAAACTTTATCAGTGCCCTGTGGCAGGGGCTTGTTGCTAGAGATGGCACGTGAGTTTTGGAGAGCTCTGTTTGTAGGTTGCTGCATAGGAAAGCAAAGTTTGCTAGTGAAGTTTTTACTACTATCCAGTGTGTTCAGCTTCCTTGTTTTCCTGTCCGTGTAAATCAGCACTTAACTGCTTTGTGCAAGGGTTCACCAAACTTGTTACTACTTTATTATAAAAATGTGAGAGATGGATAGGCATGACCAGGAGAATTAAGTCTTTTTCACGTTATAAAGAAAAAAGCTGGGGTTTGTCTAACTGTCTTTGCTGTCCTGTGCTATTAAAACAGATGTCTGGTACTGTTAAGTGTCTTAACAGGGTTTGGTTTTGCTGGTTGTCACTACCATTTGGGTGCTCACTGGAGTTTTTAGGTGTCCCTTTTGAGAGAGGAGGCACCTTTTTKGGGGGCAGGGAGGGGGGAAGTGTTTGGATTCTGACTTGTACCTGAACTTGGAGAAATCCTGGCCATTTTGGGCCCTCTAARCAGCTTGGAGGCTTGTTGCCATGAGGCTCATGCTGGCTTTGGCCTTACTTGGGGCACTTTTATGTTAGTCTTGTCAGAATACATTTCAATTTAGAGCTGATCCTGCAAACTCTTACATATGTGCTTCAAGTTAAGCAAGTGGTTAAATGTTTGTGGATGAGGGTATTTTTTTCTCCTTTTAGTCAAAAACCGAAAAGCTGTACTGCTAAGATGATTGTGCCTAGTACGTGTTGATATCATGTAAATGGTGGTAGCAAACTCTTCTGTGTTTCCTATCCTCTTTTGGTTAAGATGTAGCAGCAATGTGTTGTGTTGTTTACCTCTGATCACCTCATACTCTGTACGGTCGCAGCCTTAAGTTTTCAGTGAAGAGGCTGTGGATGTGGCTCCATGAAAACAGGCTTTGTGTGTAACTGTGTGTACTTTGTGTGTAACTGTATTCTGAGACTTTTAAAAACACTTTGTTCAGTTTTGCCGTATATATGGTAGTTATTGACATTTGTATATTGCTTTTAAGTTGTAAGGCATCATACAAGTGCTAAGTGCCCCACAACAGTACTTCAGAGCTATTTTTCCATCATAAGTGTCTGATGCTAAAATGTGCTACAGGCCTAAATATAAAGAGAATCTGAATGAATTGGGGAGGAAATGGTCAAAATTGCTTATAATGTTGTTTTCAGGTAATAATTTTCAGTTAGGAAAAACAGATCCAAGTAACGTAAAGCAAACTGAGTTATTTAACTTAATTTTGCTTATGGAATTTAATTTAACATGGAGTTCTCATTTGAGTCAGAATATGTTCGCTCTTATAAATTCTGTAGTGTCAGTTTAAACCCACGTGCTACAAGGACAGCATCAAGCAGAAGTCAGGAAGTCCTGGAAGGAAGCACACACCATTTCCTAAACAGCAGTAGCCTAGCCTAGTTGAATAAGCTCTACAGATGTCTATGAAGTTGCTCACAGAAATAAGTGTGTTTGATGTTAGAGATGGGCAAATAGGCTCTGAATCTCTCAAGATACTGATGCTTTGTTGTGTGTGTTTCAAGCTTTTAAATGTTCTGGAGAAAACCTATCCTTTCCTAACCCGGTTCCCTTGCTCATCTGCTGTCACCAGGAAGGGACCTACTGCTTCTCCCCCTCTGGGTATTTCCCCCACCCAAACTTTCATTTGCTTTGTGTCTGCACGTCTTCCACCCCAGTTACTTTCTGAACCTGCCTTCCACCTCCAGTTCCTTTCTGAACCCATAACTACTCAAGATTGTCCTGCATGTTTGCATTTTCTCCACTTTGCTGAGAGGACACTGCTGTTGAGGTGAGGAGAAAGACACACGAGGCTCCCACCAGGATTTCCCCTTCTCAGCTGAGATAGGGAGGCCGTAGAAGTGCTATGATTCCCTCTGTGGAGTGGGAGGCAAAGCCGTGGTAGATGACAAGACTGTTGCATCTTGATAGTGCAGTACTGCGATATTAAAACACCACAGCCTCTTGAAATACCAAATAATTTCTAATTTGTATTGCTTGTATTGAGGATTATGCTCCTGATGCACAGTACTAGAATACTGACCTTCCTTGGTGCGTTTGCTGTGTGCATACACCAGTACAGGGTGTAACGACTGTGTGTAAAGTCCTAACCCATGAACATCTGCTCATAAAAGTAACTGGGGGAGAAGTGAAAGTGTACATACGTGTATGTGTTTATACATATACAAAAAGTGAGAGAATATATATACTGTGGGTCAATTTTTAATATAAATGTAAATGTTTCTACTGAAGAAGTATCAAGATTTTCATTAGGAGAGAGGTGATTAAGTTTTTCTTCAGTGCATTTGAATTGTGTTGCAGGATTGATAAATTCAAGTTAATGCGTGATGAAGAAAGATTATTTCTTAATTTTTCTGCTATTGATTTAGAAATTCCTCTCTCCAATATATGCAGTTTTCTAAATGTTACTGTGTGAGGATAGATGATTGTAGTTTCTTTAAAATTGTGTAATGAGAAAATGACTTCACTAGAAGTTTCGTCCAGTGATCCCAAGCAAAGCAGAAAGAGACCACTTTATTCATCTSATAATTGGTTTCCTCCACAATAAAGTGTGACAATGAAATGAGGAGTAAGAAATATCTTCTTTAAGATAAAACTGTAGGGGGTTATATTGGGTCTTTTTGTTTCAGTTTTACAAAATTGAATTCACTAATGAGCTAAAAATAAAAAGCGAGGAGGGGGGAAAACCTAGTGACAGTAGGCAGCTGATAGTAGTCAAGTCATGAGAGCTGATAAGTTTAAGAAAAGGAAATCTGTTATGTAAATCACTTTGCAAGTTTGTGTATAACCTGTGAACTGTCCTTTCCTCTTTAGGGTCTGTCTTATGTTACTTAATTCAAGATGAGTAGGCCCTTTTCTTTCTTCTCATAATGAAAATGAGGCTGAAGTCATTTATACTAAGAACCATGGAGTTTTAATGGTCAAAGCAGGGCAGAAGCTGAGATCTGTGTGTGTGTTTTTTTTTGTTTTCAGTTACTGAAAGATCTGTAGAATTGTAGTTCAACATAGCCTCTAAAACATGGATTTTAAATACACATGGGTTCTTGTGACATCCCTTAGATTCCTTTTTATATCACTAAAAACCTTAAAAGTCTGTGTTTAAGAGATGGGCTGTCATGGGTTGGTTGGGTGCAGAGGAGCTGGTTGGCTTGGCCAGCCAAGAAGGGAAATTGCAGATGTTGCTGCACTTCCCCTGCCTTTCCCTTCCCCCCTCCTTTTTGTTTTCAGGGACTAGTTTCTCAAAAGAGTTGTAAAAATATTTACTTGTAGTAATGCTAAAAACACATGATGAATCTGTGTAGYTGTTCTGAAAGAACTTATTTCAGAAGCAAATTGGCAAATAATGCTACAAAAATCTAAGTAGGGAATGTCTTTCGGTGTCTCAAGTCTTTGCATGTATGTGCACAYGTAGAAATACTAGGATTAATTTTAAACCATTTAGCTTGAATACCTGAAACAGCATACCTAGACACAGTGTCTATTCAGACTTACAGATTCATTTTTCAGGAGAAGTTGCAGCAGAGTTGTGTTAACCTGGTGCCCTGAGCTGGTCCAGGCGTTGTCTGTTCTTGATGTYGCGCACACCTCGCACAGCTCTGAGTTTCTGAAGCAAGGTGTTGTATACGAGTGGATAGTGGCAAACTGAATTTGTAGTTCTGCTTGGTGCAAGTACAACTCTTTTTAAGAACACAAACTGGCATCTACATTTGTAAAGTAAAATGTTGATACAGTGGTATTTATAAAGTTGCTGAGTCCCCACAATTGCGTTTAAAGTTGGCAGTAACTGTGTGTACTTAGCATTTCTGAAAATCAAGCCTTAAATGTAATTTGCTGGGTTTTGCAAATGCCTCTTAGTTTCTGTTTCTTTCAGGGGCTAGTATTAGTAAAAGGCAATGCTGCATTATGTTTACCTTGCTGTTGTAATTCTTAGTSTCCATGTTGCAAAGGAGCAGTCTTGTTTATTAGTGATGTCTAGCAGTTAAAAAAAATCAAAATCGTCCAGAGAACAGCCATGTTTTTTCTTTTATGATCTAAGATTCAGTTCAATTTCTCTTTTATGTACTGTATTACAGAGACACTCTATATAACCCTTTTACCATATGCAAACAATTTGAAGTGTTATCTCAGATACCTGTAGTTGCATTTCTAGAAACTTTTACTAGAAATTTGGGTGATGTGATTTAGCTGAATGTTAGGCCTTCCCCCCTGCCAAGCAGGGCACTAGTTTTGCCAACCTGGCAAAGTGGGCAAGCAACTGACTTTGCAGCAGATGCTAGTGCTGTTTTTTAACCTATTGATGGATTTGGAGAAGCATTTAATCATTTCCTTGACTTCATTTAGAGCTGCTGTTGAGTTCCACTGACATCATAGGATTTGTAGCTTTTGATGAATTAGAACTTYGA